TATACAAATAATTATATTGTATATTAATAGGAGGAGATAGCAGAAAATGTTGAAGATGAAGAGGTTGCATCACCTGATGTTGTAGCAAATGAAAATTTTGATTATTTATTAGGAATGACCTTATGGAGTTTAACAAAAGAAAGAAAAGACGAACTGTTGCGTCAAAGGGATGATAAATTATTAGAATTGAAAAGATTACAAGCTCGTACACCTATTTCATTATGGAAAGAGGACTTAGATAATTTGTTAAATGAATTAAATAGGGTAAGTAGTTTTGTTCTATTGTCACACAGCAATAAATTTCTCTCATGTGTTATATTTTATTATAGTTGGAAGAAAAAGAAAAAAAAGAAGAACGAAAATCAAAACAGAGTAATAAAAAGCCACCATCGAAGTACTATAATAACGATAGTATTCGTCGAATAGTTCCCACAATTGACACTGAATTAAAAAGGAAAATTGAAAAAGCAGAAAATGTGTCTAAAGACAAAAAGGAAGGCATAAAAAAACATCAAAAGGTTACACAGTATACATTGTCAAGTTTATTTATTTTATTTTTAATAAAGCTCTTATATGAAACTTTCTATGAAAATATAATTAAAATTTTGTGTAAAATATTAGGTAAAGAAAGAACCAACAGATGATAAAGATGAACTTGATATGTTGGTTGAAGCAAATGCTAAATCTTTACAAGACAGATTGGGTAATTCTCCAGAAAAAATAGAAAAGAAAGCAGGCGGCAGAAAAAGTATATACTTACTTAGTTGCAATAAAATAAAACATTTTGCAAAGATCGAAAAAGTAATATTTTATTTTATTATTTAAATTAGGATTGAAACAGACAATATTATCATTCAAATCGAAAGTGAAAAAGGAAAAAGGTGACGAAAAGAAAGACAAAGACTCTGACTGTAGTGATGACATTGATTTTGGTAGTATTTCCCCACCACCAGAACCTCGAGTATCCCGTAGGACTACAAGTATCAATTTTTTGTTATATAATTCTTTCTTATGTTTATAATGTTTATGTTTGAAAAGTATATATATGTAATTGATATTTTTTTTATTTAATATTATAGCGTGCTTCTTCAGACATGGAACAGTGAGTATTTTATTTATAATTATATAACAATATGTAAGCATAAAAAATATTTTCATACTAAATTTTTTCAGGAAAACGAAACCTACAACTATTGTTAATAGCGATTCTGACGATATCTTTAAAGCACATAAGAAACGTAAGTAAATGTTCATACGAATTGCTGTTAGTACAAATATGTTAGCCATATTATTGCATTATTTTATTATAAAATATTACTACTTACTAGAATTTTTTCCCATAATAGCGAGTTCAGAAGAACTTTTTGACTCTTTAGTCGGTAGTTCTCCAGAAAAACAACAAAAAGCTGTGGAAATATCTAGTGAAGATTTATCTATATTTTCACCTCCGACGAAAGGTAAAATTGTTAATGTAAAATGCAAAAATCTTACTGATTATAAAATATTCAATACTGATCATTCGTATTAATGTTTCACTAATTCGTAAAATATCTCACGTAATAGTACTTCATATTATATATTTCATTATTTATGTTTTAGTATCCGCTAAAAAGAAAGCTGAAAATGGAGGAAAAGGAATGAAAAGGCAATTAAAGAAAAAAGCAGTTTCTTCCGATTCAGATTCTGAAGAAGTCATGGTCTCAAATAAACAAGCTCCTGTAAGTAACATTGTAATTTATATATTATAGAATAAGAAGTATTATTACAGAAACAATTAGTAATTATAAAATGAAACAATAAAATCAATATTACATACTACTTTTTCCTAAACAAATTTTTAAAAGTTGTAAATCAAATTGCAATTTAGTTGTACTAAACTTATTTGGCTACACAGATAAAGAAAAGAAAGAAGAAGTCCGAATCGGAAGAAGACAACATTGCTAGTGTAGAAAGTTCGCCGGTATTAACGCGAAAAACTGGCGGTCGTGCTCGTAAACCTGTTTCGTATGTTCTTAAATCAGACGATGATGATTCCAATTGATCGATTTTGTACAATATTTTAAAATTATAAAAAAATAAATGGCACCTGTTCCAGAACGTTTAAATTACAAAGATACAGCTCTAAGTTGAATCACAATTGAAGTCGTTAATAACGAATTTTGTGATTACATTTTATATAAATTTTAACAAATTTTGCCTTGATTATTATCGAGACATTAGTAATTTTATATAACACTGTACATATATGTACTAAACATGCGAATAGTATTGTAAGAGAATAAAATTTTACAACGATAAGTAAGTTATAAGTGTAATATGCAATGCGATAATACATCTGGATCATCAATAACTGTATAACGTCTGCGTATTTAAATAGTATTGAATTTAAGAATACGTACTTTTTTTCTACGCTAATTTTCAGGAGAAACAAATTTAAATACTCATTCTTTTGTAAAAAAAATCAATAAAATAACATATTTTTACACGCGTTAGAATACGAATTCATAGAATTTTTTTTAAATTATTAAAAAAGGGAGCAGTGTACAATATCTTGTGAAATTTACTATTTGCTAAGAGAAACTTCTGTTATTCTAATGATAATGTATTCAATGAAAAAGTTTTTTCGTACAGATAAAATACGTATTCAAACATTTTACATATATTATCTAATGATCGCATAGTTTTTATGTGTAGTATTAATATTCAATAATAGAACGATTGATGTTTTATGTATGCTTAATGATCATAGAAATGTGATTAGTGATTATAATGAAATTTTTGCATTTATAATGAATGGAATGTTAATTTAAACATTAAAATGCATTATGTACGTTTAATTAACTTCAACTTTTTATTTATTTATTTTTTCTTTTTGTATATTAGACCAATTTTGTAACGAAACGCTTCTTACGTACATCTGTCAGATATACTTTTTATTATTTACAACGAGCGATGTATCATTAAAAAGTAACATACTTACCACAACGTGTAAAAATAATTGTACCAATTAACACATTCGATAATGCGTACAATTGATAATCTATATTCAAGGAATGAAATTTTTATGAAAATAAATAATTCAATTAATCACACGATTGAGAAGAAAAAATATTAAATCTATTCAATACATAACATTGAACGTGTTAAATACATACCCAAGTAATATTAACTTGTGCTTCTTTTTCTTTTTTTTTTTTTAAGACAACTTTTTAGAAGATCTCAAAATGAATCCAATGATATCACATAATGTCATTTTTAGCATTCTCCTTCGTAGAAAAATCACGTTAAATTTATAATGCTCTTCATTAGTTAGTACTATATTAAATAAACGGGAGAATGTTTGTAAGTTAAACATAAATTATTAACGAACAATAAGTGTAAGACTAGATTCATATAAAGAACAGAATGATTTGAATGTACCAAAAAACATAAATGTCAAATATAAATAATATGTACAATTTTAATACGATTTCTTGATGTAAAGGTAAAAGACACTATGCAATATATATCACAATCAACATAAGATTATGAATAAATAACCAGCTTAATATAAAAACATTAAATTTTGTATTTGTTAGATCCTTACTTTCCAGAATATGTTGTTAAATCGTTCCAAAAATTTCACTGTATTCTATTAATTTTTTAAAATCGCAGTGGGAGCTAAACACGTTGTCCTATCTGACCCGGTCAGGTAATCACAAGAAAAACAATAGTAAAAGTTATTGTAGTCGGAGTCAATGATCATACGAAGAAATTTCTAAAGATGTACCTACTAACAAATTAGAAAGTACTAAATAGCTAATTCTGATATAGCATTTGGAGTAGCGGCAGGATTGCGCGCATTTATTTTGTAAAGGAATTTCTTCTAATAACACAATGTGATTTGCAGTTATAATCGAAAACTTACTTTTTGTTATTTACACAAAAATGTTCTAATCAACTTCAAAAAGACAATGATTTCTAATTATCAACTTTACGCGTGTTTTTATCTGAAACTTTTTTTAATAAAAAAATTTTTGCATTTTAAATTATACACAAATACGTAAATTTATTGCTATAACGTTTCATACACCATCCTCGACGCAATTCCTGTTGTTTATGAGGAAGATCGTGACTATGCTGACACGCAGGGGCGATAAAAAAAACTTCTCGCTTATTAAAGAATTGTTTTAATTACTTTCCTTTTAAAATTCATAATAATACTCCGAACTCTACACGCATGGTTATACAAACACGTAGAGTTAAAAATATTATTATGTAAATGGGTTTATTTTGTGAAATAAATCCGTATTTTCTGAAGAATATATCTGACCAGGCAATACTAGGACATTGGTGCAACGAATTTTCTACGAAAAAAATCTTATTCCTTGGATAAAAATTTGTTTTCGATACATGCATTTAATAATTTTATTAACGATGCATTTTCAAGGAGTTTTCATTATATACAAATGCAAAATTGTTTCTATCGCAAAACATATAAACACTGCTTGGTATAGATCCGTTTTTTTTTATCATTACAAATAATCTCAGATGAGATTTCATGGAATAAATGCTCGTTAAATGATTTTTTTCATTCTTTCATTTCTTTTTTTTATTAAATGATTTAATTTTTTAAATTTCTTAACCGTCATCGTAACAAAACGATATCCTTTTTATTTCAAAGAAGTGTTTTTCGTAAATTTTACTGGCCAAAGTGTGCTATTTTTTTACTCAAGAATAGTATGCACCAATTGTCATTTTAAACTACAATAAATATAAGACAATATTATAAAAGTAATTATGACTACTTCAACTGTTACGTTTAAGCTAAATTTCTAAACTAACTAAGAAATTTTTGCTTGTTTGCAATTGATTTTTCAAAATATACGGAAAAAATGATTATAAATAAATCTAAAAATTAAAATTCTTCAATGTTGACAATTATGCATACACGCCCTCGGAAAAAAATTAAATGAATTTATTCATCTTCTGACTAGTTTGTCTTCCAACTTAATTTACAAAAAGCACTTCTTCGTAGATCAATTTCAAAAGTATACGCTTTTTGTTTGATAAATTTGAAAAACCGCAAGAGAAATAGGAGAGGGAAGCAGGAACGGTTGGCTTTTAGAATAGAAGCGATGGATCTAGTAGTAGACTCTGTTCAGACTTGTAATGTATTCTCCTCTGACCATTCTTTGCCAATCACGTTGGTATTGAATCATCAATACCGTGCCCACATTGTACCAACAACTTACAACATTTTAACAACTCTCTAATACTCCCAAAAGCTGCAGTTTATCGACAGACGCGACTATAATACAAAGCAAGGGCACTTGATAAAATAACTTAATCTTCTATTTCATAATTATCTATATATAACGTACATATATAAAACAAATTATGAATAAAGAAATAGCAATCAGGTCGGTACAGTATTGTGAATCTTACCTTAAAAATTTTTTAACGCCTGATTATATGAATTGGTATATATATCACGAAAATGTAAGATCATAATCAACGCGTCGAAGTCCACTGTTGAAAAAAATGAGTCACTCTATTAGAAAATTCTGGATTAAAAATGTACATGTGCATGGAGCATATAAGCGGTGGACTACAATTCTATATGTTCTTTTTCATTTGGGAGCAACGCGATTCTTTTACTTTCTTTGCATTCGAACCTTAGACCAATCAATCCGGTATAGATAAAGCCCACTCGTTTCAGAATAGGAACAACCAACCAAATCTCCTCATGTGTGTATGTTAATCGTTATTAGTCATGATATAAGTAATAATGTTAATATTTGAATAAAGTAACATGATGTGCAGTCAAATATTCATGGAATACTTGGCTACACGGAGGTCATGCGAGGATCCACCACAGTTGTCTTTCCACTGTCAATGCTGTCCTGTTCTTTACACCATATATATATATTATATATTCATGCATACGTAACTTTAGAAGAGAGGAACGTCTCCGTAAAAGCAAAGTCCCTCTAACCGCTTTGACGCGCTTTGCTTCGGATACTTTATCTTCCGTTTCTCTCTTTGTTCACCGAGTAATTCACTTGCAATGATTTCCGTCGCTGTACTCCTTTGTTTCCTTTTCTTCTTAATTTGAACTTCACTTTAATTCACAATGACTTATCACATGTTTATCTGTTTTTCATTTCTTTTTAAACACTATTATCAAGTCAGCCCACTGTTTGATACAAGGAACGATAATACAATTGAATATTTACGAACACAACATTTTTGTCATGCTGAATAATGTAGCTTGTATTGTAGAAAGACGCAAGCTCCTGGACTTGCGGTGACCAGTCTCGCATCTCTCTTGCAATGTCCTATGTAGTCGGCCTGTAAGTATAGTTGTAGAGGTGTGGTGGAAGTGGTGGTGATGGTGGTAGTGGTAGTGGTAATCGTGGCATTGGTGATGGTGATACTATCCGGTCTTTAGTATTTACAATTCGTTATAGCAATCGCTATATTCCTAAGATGAGATGGTGTGCAATTCAGTGTTCAAGATTTGGCATGTATTAGCATATTGAAGATTTTGTCTTTAGTTCTTTTCCACTACGAACTGCTTGACGCGTTCATACCACTAAACATGCCAATACTAAATGAAGTTTGTTGCTGTTGCTGAATTTGTTGTTGCTGTTGTTGCTGCTGCTGATTATTCGCTTGACGGCCATGTTTTGGCACTGGAGGTTGTAGATATTCGTGTCTAGCTAATGTCAATACATCTATGCGTTCTTCTTTCCTATATGCTAGACAACTTCTTATGAAACTCTGAAAAAATGAGAATATTAATGAAGAAGTTATAATTTCATTTTAGTACTTCCTGTAATTAGACTTTTTAATTTTCATGAATTAACGTTAAAGTTGTACCTTTGCTTCGTTGCTAACAGTTGGTTTATTTGCAAATTGAACTTCAGTAGCTTTTAAAATTGTGTTTTCTTCTAAAATTGTAGCTTGAGATTGATTATGTCCAAAAGGCTAAAATCACATAGGTTTTATCATGTAAATTTTATTAAGGAAATTTTACGTAGAAATAAAAATGATGGAAACAAGTACTTTAATAATCAACCATACCTTTTTGCCATATAGACATTGGTAAAATATAACTCCTACACTCCATACATCGACTTTTGACGATATTTTTGGAGGATTTTTACCAATAACAAAACACTCTGGTGGAAGATACCTAAATGATACAAAACATAGACCTTTTCAAACACTGCCAATAAATTCCAACATGAAAATATAGAAATGTGTTTAGTGCTATCAATTATATGTTTTAAATGTAAAAATGCCTACCAATAGGTACCAGCTCCTTGAGATGTCAAATCCATTCCATGGTCTGGATTATAATTTTCTTCGTCCATTACTTTACTTAACCCAAAGTCCGTAATTTTTATTTCTCCACAAACATTACCTTCAGTCAATAGTATATTACCTGTGAAATTATAATATTAAGAGTATACAATTAAAAATTTTACATTTTTAGTTTACAAAGTGAAAAAATGTAATCACAGAAATTTACCTGGTTTTAAATCATAATGTATGACTGGGGGTTTTATTTCATTGAGGTACTTTAATGCAGATACAACTTGCATAACAATGGATCTTGCTTCTCTTTCAGGTATAGTCTTATGCTGAAGATGGAAAATATTTAATCAAATATTGGAATAATAAATTTGTTATATGATCAAAAATAAATTAATATTACAGTAGCATATATATACCTGCTTAAGGTAAAAATCTAAATCATGGCCATCACAATATTCCAAGACGGTACAAAAAGAATTGGCGTCAATTTCAAACACATCATATAATTTCACAACACGAGGATGATCAAGAGCTTTATGTATATTATATTCTCGTAACGCATGTCTGTGTAAAGAATACAAACAACTAATAATATAAAAATATATCGTATTAAAAAAATTAATATTATATGTTTACAGTTAACGTTAATACTATTTTTTAAATACGCGTTTAGTTACAAAATTAGTATTATTATTTTAATTCAATAATTGACATTGAATGAATGACACAAGAAATTTTATTATGAAAAATCTTACTTAATATAATTAGCTTTTTTATCCTCTTTCCAGTCTTTATTCAATTGATGCACTTTACAAGCGACATATCGTTGCTCTTTTAAGTCAAATGCCTGTAAAAAAAACAAATTGCTTAAAAAATAATTAAATAATCCTTTATTACTAGGAACTATTATTTCGGAACCAATAGGTGCATTTTCATACCTTATGCACTTCGCTGAAGCCGCCTTTTCCTAATAACATTAGTAGAAGGTAACGTTCATTTAGTACAGGATGAGAATTGAATCTCGATTGGTCCTCGTTGTGAATACGTTTCAGTTCTCTGATGTGTAAATTTCTTTCTCTTTCGAGTTTTTCCATTTCTAGTTGCAGATCTGCGTCTTCTTTTTTCAACGCACTTTGCCTTAACTACAAATTGAAGACATAAATATGAGAAATAAGTGTTTATAAAACGAACAAATTTTTAAACAGATAACAAATGTTTCAACAGAGTGATTACAAAATTAAAAATTTAGTACCTTGAGTATTTCATCAGCTTCATAATACTCCTGCCATGTATAAGATCCAGGTACTGCATCTGGCTTTAAGAATGTAGCTTCTGTGCCATTATGCAAAGAAGGTTGAGGCTGACTACGTTTTCTACCAGTTTCATTGTTCGATGGCCTCTTCTTAAGTAGGAGTTTTTTTTGTTTATCGATTTCTTCCCGTTCAGTCGCAATTTCTTCTTGTCGCCGTGCTAATTCTTGAAACGCATAACCATCTGTCCAATTTTCTTGAAACGTTGCACCCACCCTTTGAGTTACAAATTGACCCAACCTCAGTCTATTTTGCATACACTTTTGCCTAGCCTCCTTTTTTTCTATGTTTGATTTTTCTTTTAATAGTTTCTTTACAACGTCTATACACTTATTTATATGGGATTTGTGCTGTTCAATTAGTTTTTGTTGATTAGCCATTTGATGCCTAAGTTCATCAGTTGTCTGGAAAAATATAAGCAATCACACTACTTTAAATATAAACATATAAACAACCATGAATTTTGTTATGTAAAATAATAAAAAAGATTTTAATATTTTTATATTTTAATTTTTATATGTATAGGAGTAAAAACTCTTTCAACCTCCATTACTGATGCATAATTTTAATATTTATAGAATGATTGTAGAAAATTATTTTACATATTACTGTACTTACTCTATTTAATTCATCAATTTTGTTGTTACGTAACTCTAAATCCGAAGAGGCTTGAGTTTCAAATTCCTGTATCCTCTGGCATGTAAGTTCTGTCTGGAATGTAAGTAGTATATTTTATGATAAATACAAATACATTACTGTAACATCTGATACATTTGTCAGCATAGTTCATAAATACCAGATACCTTGCTGCACCCAAATAGAGGTAACATGCAGATTAAGGTTTTTGTGCAATATATTAGATAATTTCACATAAAATCGTGATTAAGATATCATCCTCGAGAAATATTTGTAATAAAGTCAGTTTTACATATTATTCAATTGTAATAAGCTAGCCTTTTTATTAAAAGTAAAATTATAGAGCAAAACCCAAACATAGATAGAACAAAACTACCACACAGGCAGCAAGGAACACACCAAAAATGTATGCATGATTCAAGGTATGCATGTACATATAAAAAATTGTAAGACTGTATGCTTTATATTTTATTTTAGTCCAGAACAGTTAATAATTTGTGTATTATAAATCAGACTTCATTAAAAGCAATTATTTTTGTAACAGACTTATATCCAAATATGAGTCAAAAATGGTAAACATGCACACCTATTTCTATTTTAAAAATTGAAACAACTGAAAGTAAAATAATTTTAAAAACTTAAAAGCAAAACAAGAATTTTGAAATAAGGAGTGATATTACAAGGTAGCCTGCACTCCTATGATAACAAATGGATACAGTGCTACAGTCCAGTCAGAAGTTAGCTGCAAATCTACTGCAAATATCTGACAAGAAATGCCCATTATTAAATTAAACTGTAAAAAAATGTATATTTAAATTGTTTCTTATACAAAAGTTAAAATAAGAAATTAAGTGAAAAATATGTAAAAAATAAAATAAATGAACACATAATATCTATAAAT